GCTGTGGGGAGCCACGGGGGCTACACCAGAGCTTGGGTGCTGGCCCCAGCAGGGACGGTGCGTGGGGTGACAGAAAAGTGGCCCCTTCCCTGGTGCTTTGGGCACAAATCCCCCGTAGCTGGGCTAGACCCCAGCAGACCTTGGCTCTTCCAGCTCTGGCCCCCAGGGTTAGCTCTGACGTGCAGGAGGGCCCAGCCAGGTCCATCCCAGGGTGTCCCTGGGGCTGTGCTGCCCTTTGCCCACTGCAGACATGTTCCTGTAGGACTGAGTTCAGCTCCTTGGTGCAACTGCAGACCCTGGGGCTATCCCACCCCCCCTGCCCTGCTCCTTGGCATCACTACCCTCCGGGAGAAACGGGCACAGAGAAAGGAGGGACCCAGGAGGACATGAGCCAGGCTTCCCAGCAGCCCCAAACTGGCTTTGTTCTCACCCTGGTTTTCACTGCATGCTCTGTAGAGGTCCCTCCCTTGCCAGGGTCCAGTGTGATGCTGGGCTGTGAATGCTGGGGGAGCAGAGCTGAGTCCCCTCAGGCTGGTGGGGGTCCCAGCTCTGCCCACAGGACTGAGCCCTTCTCCCCCTGCAGGAACCTGAGGACAAGAAAATCGCCCTGGAGCTGCTGGAGACAGAGCAGGCTTATGTCAGCCGCCTCCACCTCCTCGACCAGGTGAGCTGGGGAGCAGGGGGGCCCACACAGGTCTGGGGAGCAGGAACCCCACTGCCCTCTGCCCCCCCAGCACAGCTCAGCCACCCCACGCTGACAAAGCAGGCAGGGCCTGTGCCTGGGCTCTGCTCAGTGTAGGCACAGACCAGGGACTGTCTGCTGGAGGTTTTGGAGAGAATGGAGCTCTCCAGATGAGAACGGGATCCTCAAGCTTCTTCCTGACCCTTCTTCATTCCCACCTTCTCTCCTCCAGATATTCTATACGGAGCTGATGAAAGAAGCCAGACATGGGAAGACAGTCCCAGAGGAGGTGGTGAAAATGATCTTCTCCAACATCTCTTCCATCTACCAGTTCCATGCCAAGTTCTTCCTGCCGGAGCTGCAGGGGCGCATGCAGGACTGGTGAGCTGAGGGGGAGGGAGGCAGGAGCCCAGGACCCCAGCACTGCCTCCCCACGATGGGGGAGTGCTGAGGAGCTGGGCCTCCCACCACCACCACCACAGCTTGACCTGATTTGCTCCAAAATCTCTCTGTGCTGAAAGGAACTTCCTTAAAATGCTCCAGCCCAGGTCAGGGGATTTCTGGAAGAGGGGGGTGACATCTCAGGTGGTTTGGGGGTGTGCCCTAGGTGTGAGCAGCCCAGGCTGGCTGCAGGCTGGGGACATCCCTGTTGTGGAAAGCAGCAGGTTGTGTAGAATCACAGAGTCACAGAGTCGTTTTGGTTGGAAGAGACCTTTAAGATTGAGTCCAACCCTTCCCCCAGCACTGCCAGGTCCCCACTGCCCCATGTCCCTCACACCACATCCCCAGCAGCTTCATTGCCCTTCTCTGGCCATGCTCCAGCCCCTCAAG